AAGACAATTTGTTGCTTTTGCTGATTTTCAACTGAAGAATCATAAATGATTGCCTTGCTTGGTTTTTTAAAACATTATCAAAAATTTTAATTACACAAAGATAACACCAGGTTATAAAAACTTAATCTGTATTCATTTTAAACTTGAGAATACTGTATGAAAACCAAATTTGATTATGAAAATATTAGGATAATAACTAAAAATATAAACGATATATGCCATGGGGGTTTATTCCAGGGAAAATCAAGATAGAATTACAGAAAGATCTAAAAACATTCTTCTTAATTTATAATTTAAAATAACCAAATGCAATTGAGGGGAAATAATCCAAAATAATTTATTTAAGATCTTTAACTAAAAAATTCTTTAGATGTCCCAAGGGAACATAATCGTCTTAATACTGTAATTTAGAAAACCTTAAACTACAGAAGTCCTTCAGCTGTATATTTTTAATGTTTAGTTAATACTCAGAATTAAGACATTGTCCATGTCAGAGAGCTTTGTCCTTATACGACACCCTTCCTTCCATCTGTGCAGGAGGAAGATAATCAGCTTGTCTGTTCTTTGACTGTCCTCCTGGGAAAAATGGAAATAGTGCCTCCTAGTCCACATTCTAAAAATCATTTTCCAATCAGCAGTGCTTATTTCTCCTCATCCATTTACTCCTCCAAACAGGGGCCAAGAATGTCTGGCATACTTCAGAGTTGGAGGATTGTCTGGGCGGTGTCCGATAGTTGGTTCTTTGGAACAGTTATCATCGCTGGTGGAATAATGATTTATTTGACTGTCTGAGGAACAAATTGGACAGGCCTGGGAGGCAGAACTGAGCATGAGCAAAATAGTGTAGTAGGTGAGATTTATTTTCAGCGTTCTTGGTCACATTCATTAATTTCCCCTTTAAGTCCCTCGCTTTGAGGCTTGGTTTGGACATAACTCTAGGCCATGCACTGGAATCTGGACCTCTACTTTCATCCTAGATGCTGTTTCTTTCAGCCTCCTCATTATCCTAGACAGAAGGGATCGATACAGTCAATTAATCACCAGCAAAATGTTAGTGCATGTCAGTGCCTTCGTGGGTTACTCCCTCTACACAGCCTTGGTATTTAAAGTCAGACCCGTGAGACACAAAAAGCTTTCACTTCTCTCTTGGCAAACCCAGAGCATTCTTAAGGCATAGGGATAAAAGGACCATCCCTCAGGCTCCAAATAGAAACTCCATCTGTACCACATTTGCAGCCTTCTCCTTCTATGATCCGTTATTTGTATTTCTTCCTCAATGTGTAATGGGATGAGCTTGTATGAAGAAAATACTCCCATATTAGATATTTAGGTAAGCTAAGTTCTAAGAGGACTCTAATTATTATGTTATTTTGGATTACCACTATCTCCTTTACATAATAATCATGCTCTCAAATGCCCCCAGGAACTAAGTAAAATAAATGTGAGTCGGGCAGACATACTCTCATCTACAAGTATTTAAATTCAAAATTCAACTGCCTTAAACTTTAACAAGGCGAATTATATGTGCTTGCACGATACTCTAGCCAGAGAAAGAAGCCTTAATAGAAAGACAAAGTGATATTTTGGACTCTTCACTTTGCGAGGTAAGAGCTGAGGTCTCATGGGAGGTGAAGGATACCCCATTCTTCAGGTCTTAATGAAGAAAGGTAAGCTATCTAATCTGCAACTAAGAGAGTAGAGTTGATCACCAATAAATGTTTATATGTGTAAATAGATGGTGAGATTATAGAATTTTAATTTTTTCCTCCTAATTCAATATACTTTAATGTTACATATTAAACAGGTATTGCTTTTATAGTAAAAAAAAAACAGTGACTTTTAATTTCAAGAATATGAACATGTTTTTAAGACCGCATCCAAGTGACAAGTGTAGATAGTGACAGCCACAGTGGGCTGGGCCGGGACGGAGGAGTATTCCTGAGAATGGCAGATGTGTGCAGTTCTAGGCTCCACAGTAACACATGGATCCTGCACTTTGAGCATCAAACGGTCTACATACCTTCTGGGTATGTTTTCATTTTTCTCTTGGTTATTTTGAAATTCCAGTTTGTCTAAACTGTACTAATGGAAACAAAAGGAAAAACTTTTGCCCATATTTGAGCAGAGGAAGAGAGGAGCGCACACATCTAGAAATCCAGCTCGTTGGTAGTGGCCGTAAGCGAAGGCCACGGGGAACATAAAGTTAAACTGAAATTCAACTGAGCACGAGTCTCCTTCCAAACTCATAATAGGAGTTCAGGATTTACATTTCCCTGGGAAGGTGGAATAATACTCCCTAAAATCTGGAACAGAATGAATCATGCAATATCCTCAAAGCACCGGTTTTTATTTTCTTTCATTGCTGTTAGACATTCCTTCACAAGAGAAATGTGAAGCTCAGACCTAAACTTCAAACAGATCTTCAGAGATGAAGTAATTCCATCTCAAAGAGTAAAAAGAAGAAAAAAGACTTTGGAGAATTTATTTCTGAGAGAGCCAAAGAGATTTTCTTCTCTGCCTTGGTCTACTGTTTTTACCCTTGGTCACTACCAAAATAGAGTGGACAGGAGAAAAACTGAGATGGTTGGTTGCGTGAATCCATCTCTTGACCAGAGCTGGGCCTAACTCTGCAAGTTCCTGAGGACACTTGCCCTAACTGCATAACAATGAGCTTTCTCACATCTGTACTAGTGCTATATTTAAAGACAACATCAGCATGCCCTTGTATTTTTACCAATGCATAATAAATTATCACAGAATTAGCAATTTAAAATACCTATTTATCATCTCACAGTTTTATGGGTCCAAAACCCACAGGAACTCAAATGAGAACCCTGACTCAGATCTCCTAAAATCAAAATCAAGGTGCTACCTGAACTGGCTCTCATTTAGAGGCTTGGGGGAACATTCACACCCAGGAGTAGTCAGATTGTTGGCAGAATTCAGTTCCATTCAGTTGTAAGACTGAAGCCCTATCTTAGTGCTGGAATTGTTGCCAGTTCTAGAAGCTTCCAAATCCTTTGGTTGGTGACCCTCCTTCGTCAAAGCCATCAGGGATGCACTGATGTTTTCTTGTCCTTGTAATTTCTCTCAGTACACCTTTTGCCTTTCTGTCATGACAAAAACTCAAACAGGCCTGGTTTTAACGGCTCATGTTCTTACCCAACCCAGTATAAATTCTCACTTTTACGACCAATAGATTTGTAAATGAAATTACAGCAGCGTGCACAGTATCATAAGAGTAAAATAATCCTGGGTATAAGGACTTTCTGTGGAAGGCCAGAGAGTATGCTGCCTGCTAAAAGTAGGCAGTACTCCAGTACTCTAACCCAAACCAGAATAAATATTTCTCTAAAGCCATCCCCAACGTTTTGTCTTCATAATTTTTCTCATTTTTTTTTCAATCTAGAGTAGATCTTTCCTCTCTATACTCCATGGCCCTACCTCACTTATCTAAAGCCTCACTGATGTCTCATGTCACGAATCACTCCCAGTGGCATCTAGCCTTCCTTTTGTGATCAGTAAACCTCAGCATGTATTTCCCCTGGTACTGGTTACATTTTGCATTTCAATTTGTTTCCTCTTGTCTATGGGACCTATTCGGTGGCAGAGGCCTGGAAGAATGTGAGAATGCCCTTGCATCTCTGCATTTTGGTGGCACCTAAAACGATCTTCCTAGAGAACATGCAATTCAAAGTACACTTGTGCCAACCACAAACTATTTGCAGCCAAGTCATGATAAGAAAGTGCAGAAACTGAGAGTGGTGTTTAGAAAATGTTTATAGAAATTTGACACTACTGTGATAAAAGCACAGAATACTTTTTCATAAAATGTTTCCCCACTATGTTTAAAGTATATTCCTCCATGACAAATTAGAAATGTTCAAATATCTGATCCTTTACATTAAAATAATTTAAGACACACAAGAGAAAGGCACAGTGATCACAAGATGAGTACAGCATCATTTTTCCACATGACTTCAGGCTTCCTCTCTCCAACCCATTTGGAAGGCAGTATTTATTTTAAAAAAGTATAATTGTGGATTGATGTCTTATGCTTTCAAGGTGAATGCCGATTGTTACCGAAAGGCACTAAGATTAGTCCTGAACTCTTCTCATAAACCACAACACTAACAGCTATTAACAAATCAATTGATGACACCTTTTGCACTTTGAGGAATTTCCCTAAAGAAATATATTATTTTTAATATGGGAATTATTTGGGGAGTTCTGGCAACTACTTAGAAATGTTACCAAGATGATGCACAAACGGTAGTACAATTCTCCTACATCTAAACAAGGTAAGGACTGAAGGTCTAAGGCTTCCCTTAAAATGTACTGAATAAAATACACCTTTGCTATTATCTTTAAGCTTTAACTACAAATCAGGCCTCATTTTAATCAAAGTCCGTATCATCATTTGTTTGTTCAACAAATATTTGAAGGCGTACATTGGGTCAGGCGTTCTTCTCATATGGAGGTAAAGTAATAAACCAAACAAACCCAAATCCTTTTCCTCACAGAAATTGCACCAGTGTGGGGAACGAACTGGACTGAGGCATTAGACTGAGGCGTGTTTGCTTTCTTGTGTGTGCTTCTTCCTCAATTCTCCTTTGTATCCACTTCTGTCACAGTCTCCTCTGACTACCGACTCGTTCCTTGCAGCCCATAAATGGAAGAATTCTTTTTCATATACAAAAGCACAAGACATATTAAAATCAAGTTCTGAACTTCTCTGCAAAAACTCATCCTAAAGGTGAAAAAGCAATAAGATCACAAAAAGACTGTTCAGGTCTACATGTGAAGAACCTTAAATAAACCCTAAAAATACCTGCAGATATGATTTTGGAAGGAAGATGACTGAGATTTGCCATAAATATGACAGTTCAAGTCACAATTCATTGAAGTCTCTTTGCCCCCAAGGTAAGGTGAAACTAGTTACAGACTTAATGGCCCGGTGCAACAATCAGTTAACTTTTCTTGGCCTTCTTTATCTTTTTTGTCAGTCAAGGATGAGTGATTAAGGTCAGCACTGCACAAAAGACTCATTTCTCAAAATGAAAACATCACTTGACTCCCCTCTACTTTTCTATCATCATTTCCTTACTTTTACTGACTAATAATGTCAGTAATTAATAAAATTAGTACTAATAATTGGACCTAAGGATCCAAAATTGATTACACATTTAGAGATAATTTTTAATTGTCATACTGGGAATTGAATTCAGGACCTTTGCTCTAAGCTGTATCCCCAGCTGCTTTTTATTTTTTTGTTCAATACAAAGTCTTCCAAAGTCACAAATTGCCCAAATGATGAGCTTAAATTCGTGATCTTGCTGCTTCAGGTTCCTAGAGTGCTGGAATTACAGCCATGTGCCACCTCAACTGGGTTTATAGATAAAATTTTAATCCTGGTCTTCTAGACTAGATTTGGCATAGGTGAAAATTTAGCTCTGTAGGGAAGCATTTAAAAAGTCACACATGGTATGAAACTTGTTTAAACAACAGCAAAAGTGTCTTCAAATAGAGAAGGTCCAACACAAATTTCTTTGTCCACAATTAAGGAATCGCCCAGTCATCTCATTCTGGTTTGCACCAAATGTAAAATTTTCCAGATGGAAAATCATAGAATGTCCCTATTTTAACCTTTCACATGGCTACAATTATGATGATATTAAGTATATATCATTTGCAGAGTAATAACAGTTCTCAGTTCACTAAGAGTCCAAAAATGCACATTTATAACCTGAACTACAGAGGGTATTTTTGTTATGGAGAACTTAATTATGGAAATGTTTCCTTGGATTGAAATGTATGCACAGAATGTAGACATCAACTCATTTATTTACTAAGTTTGCACAGACTGTTTATACATATGCTTTTCAGAATCTTCCATCTTGTATAACTATTCACGAAAGGATATCTATTCCATCTGGACTCATGCATTATCAAAAATTCTTTATAAATTTACACAATGATTGATTAAACCATATCTTCCAGAAATTCTTTTCTAGTTAACAGGAGCAGAAATCCTTGAGATTCCCCACTGAACAGAAGTTAACATGGGTATCTTAACCATACACAAGACATTCTCCATCTATCAATCCTGTAAAAAGAATAGACAGGGACAGACAGAGAACACTAAAGCAAGGTAAAAAGTTTGCAAACCAAAGTTTGCAAATGTTCCCTAACTTTCACTTACATGTCCCTGATTCTTTATGCACTATCCTCTAATTTTTGTAATTGTCGTATGCAGTAATGCTGAAAAAGCATGAGGAAATAACTTAATCCAAACCTTTTATCCATGTATTGGGAAAGCAGGTGGCTTGGGATTTAGCTCAGCGGCATAAGTACCTGCCTTGTAAGCAGGCGGCCGTGAGTTCGATCCCCGGTACCGATAAAAATGAAAAAGACAAAAAAAAGAAAAGGAAAAAAAAAAAAAAAGAGTCACAAGAATAGCCCAGCAGCATCAGAACATAGCGCTCAACCCTCAGCTCTCAGTTTCTTGAACTTCCCTCTGAGTACATATTGAGTTTTTCAGTAACTGCTTAGATTTGTTCTATGTCATTGAGTCCTTTATCACCAGTAGAATTAGCATCCACTTCCTATTGTATTCGCTTAAAATAAAGATTCAGTTATTTTCTTTAAGGAACCAGTGGCTTGAATATGCATCTGGGACCTCCTCCCTGTGCTTGGTGAGTGTGTTTGTGTGTCACTCCTTTAACAGTCACAAGGGCGGGAAAGTCACTGCCACACAGTGGCATCTCAACACTAAACATGACTACCCCCTTGTTTTGGTCTACTCTGGCTGCTACAATAAAACATCATAAACGAAGTGGCTTATTTTTTTTTTTTTTTTGTTCTTGTTGTTTTATTGGTACCAGGGATCAAACTCACAACCTCACGCTTGCCAGGCAGGCAGGCGCTTAAGCCCCTGAGCTAAATCCCAGGCTCTTCAAGGGGCTTATGAACAACAGGAATTTATAGCTTACAGTTTTGGAGGCCAGATGTCCAAAACCAAGTCACTGGGATGTTCTCAAACTGGTAAGGTCTCGATTCCTAACATGAAGCTCACATGGCAGATGGGTAAGGTAGCTACGTGTGACCTCTTCTATAAGTGCACGAGTCTCATCCATGAGGCCTCTGCCCTCAAGACCTACCACCTCCCAAAGACCCCACCTTCAGATACCTTCACATCAAGGATTAGATTCCACCACATCAATTTGTACCAGGGTGGACATGAACATAAAGATCATAACTCTCTCGGTAGCCTTGTGCCACAGTGGTTGAGATACACAATGAAAATTACACTCCGTGGGACCAGCAAGGCAGATGTCAGAGAAACAGTCAAAAAACAGAAGCATAACTTCAAACTATGGTAAGGAATCTAAGGACAAGTAGAGGATGCTGGTAAAGTATCAGCGAACCTGACTGAGGCAGAAAGGGAGGGGATGGATGGCTTACTTAAAGGAACCACAATGAATCTGAAAGATGAAAGGAGGAGCAAAGCTTTCCAAAAACAACCCAGGTAGTGGTGGTGTAAGTGAAGAGGACGGTTAGACAGAAGCTGGAGGAGCAGTAAATACCAAAGCACCCAGGGCTCTGGAGGACACGTCAAGGGTGCTGCATTTGTGTTAAGTACCATTGCAAGTACTAAAGGCTTTAAGTAAAGAGGCAGTGAATAGGTTTTCAAAAGAACATCGGACTCCTTGGCTTCCATGGCACAGGGATTCATATGTCAAATATTTACTTTACTTTGGTTGTAAAGATTTTTAAAATGTCATCAAATCATATTCTTTTGAATTCTTAAATTGTTGTTTTTACTATAGATTGTATGGCTTGTAATGTCTGTATTACTAATGAGGATTAAATATCAGGTTTAAAAATATCTGGAATATCAAGTAGATCATTATAAGTGGTTAAAAGAAAAGGATGAAGGATAACTCTCCTGTATCGCCTTTACACACAGTCCTCTCCATAGACACCATCATACTGCTAACTCTGTTCAGACTCCCATTTTTTCAGTAGAAACCAAACTCTATTCTACATATTTCTAAGTTTTAACAATCCTGTATGAGAAGAATTTTCCCCGGGGTGTCATAAGTGTATTACACACATCAGTGAAAGTCACCAGACAGCCATTATCTACATGATTGCTAAAAAAAAGATAAAGCCTTGCAAACATTCTCCTGACCTACAGACACAATCCACTGCACTGAGTTCAGCATCGGTAAGACAAAAATGATAAATGAGCTAGAATGACCCAATATCAATAAATACTCTGTCCACCTGGGTTTTATCCAATGCAGTTCAACAAATTTTGAGGAGGAATAGACTAGTGGCAAAGATCCTGGAAAATGAGAGCATTTGGGGAAGCTTTGCAGACATCCAATCAGAATAACATCTAAAAAGAATAAAGTAGACGAGATCAGGGAAAATTTTTCTACGAAGGAAATCAGTATGACTGGCATATCGAGATAACTCTTGTTCATATGAGAGTAGAAATTTTCCTGATTATTACATGCGTGAAGTATTCAAGATTTCTGTTGACTTACAAACTGACATAGTGATTAGTCAACAACTAATCTTGGGTGTGTGGCAGAAATCTTTTACCTAATATAGTCCTCCACCAATCTGCTCTCCTCTCTTGCTCACTATCTAAAGGCACTGATTTGTCTCACTCACGTCAATAGGCTCCCACTCTTCTGATTTCCAGTGGACATAGCCAGCAGGAAAAGGTGGGTGGAAACTGAGCACACGTACGTCAAATATTTATTTTCCTTTGGATATGATGATCTTAAAATGCTGTTAAGTTGGGGGCTGGGGATTTAGCTCAGCGGCATAAGCGCCTGCCTTGCAAGCAGGCAGTCGTGAGTTCAATCTCCGGTACCGATACAAAGGAAAAAGACCAAAAAGATGCTATTAAATCATTTTTATCATAGCTTAAATTATGTTTCTTCTCCTCCTAAGTCACTTCTCCTCTCTGTATTTTGAGACATTCTTTCCTTCTGGGTTCTAGTTATGTCTCCCTCACACTGTCCACTCAGTTTGAGGGCCATCAAAAGTTTGTTCCTCCTAGCTGCAGGTTTCACCAACAGTAACACCACACACGCTTTTGTTATCCATCCCTCTTCTAGATAAAATCTTTAAATTATCCCGATTGTGACATGTATCCCCTTTGAGCCGCTACCCAATATCCATAATCCCTTACAAACTCAGTTTCTACCAGACATATGTTTTCCAACCTTCAGCTATTTATACATAAGCTCCATAGCCAAAGAAGCTTGAGGAAACTGATCTTTGTTCTTGTGCCACAAGTTCTGAGTTCAGAAATGTCTCAGTACCATATTTGGCCAGTCTAACAGTGATAAATGGAGGCTATGTTCCCAGCCCAAGTGTTCTGTACTAAAATGTACTCTGTGGTCAGATTGTACAATGTGTAACCCTGAGACTGATTAGGCACACCTGCCAAGACGACAGGTCTTGAGCACACAGCCAAATTAAGCTACCTACAAATGGCTTCAGCTTTATGCATTTAACATGAACTTGGAGACAGCTTAGCTTCCAGAAGCACCGGTGTGAATGTGAGTGACTCACATTATCATCTGAAATTGTGTGCTTGTGTTGATGAATATTGTGAGATCTAGAAGCATGCCCAGCTGCCTATTCTGAGAAATGTTACTGAACTTGCTAGTGTGAGTGGTGGCCATGATGTTCACATTCTCCAACACTCAACCATATAAACTTTGCCTAGACAGCCCCACAGTCACGGAGGCCACTCACACCCTCCATACTAGCCTACCCCTGCCAGGCGTGGTGACGCACACCTGTAGTCCCAGCACTTGGGATACTGAGGCACAAGGATCATTATACGTTCAAGAACAGTCTGGGCTACAAAGTGAGCTCAAGACCAGCCATAACTGCATAGCAAGACGTTGTCTCAAAATGGAAAAAAAAATTGCCCACTCTGGGTATTTGTCAAAACAGTATTTATAGCCTTTCTATCTTCATGATTTATGCTTTATATGTATAAGCACTTCTTGATCAATTCTAAGTCCACTTCTTATTGAATATT